ATGAGCGTTCGTCGCGGTCCCAAAGCAAGATCTTAATGTGATTAATGATGTACAACAAACTGAGCTGTATGACGATGCACGGATTGTCCACGTCCTTCCTGAGGTGGAGCTTGAAGCCTCGTTCCATCTCCATATCGTACGATTTGCAATCGCCATTCAGCAGCGCCATCCTCAGCTCTCCGTCGATCACCTGAGCATTCCGGTTCGATGCTGCCACGTTAATATCGAGAATTAAATATTCTCGATTTTTCAGCTGCGAATCAACCTTTTCTGACCGTGTCTTAATCATGTCAAGGACATCATTGGCTGACACGATGCCTGATGGCCTGATGCAGTTCAACAGATTCTCCAAGCTGATCGGAGGCAATCTCACTCAGACGCTCAGAACTTCTTTAAAGTCCAACATCGGGTTCGATCGAATCCATTCACGTGCTGTTTTAGACACTTCGATCTCCAGTACGAAGAAGCTGTCGCATGAAATGATCTCTTTTACTACTGCGAACGACAAAGCCATGAATCCATCAGAGCTGAGAACCTCAACGAACCAACGATCTATAAATTCCGAACAGTGATGAGTCAACCTCGTTAGACTGTAGAGGAATTAAGCACTGAGTATCGTACAGGCGTTGGAAACTGTTAGAATCACCATAAAGTAGTTTAACGCCGAGGACTCCCAGTTCGTGAAACCGTACTTATGTGCTAAACTCTGAAGATCCGTCAGCAGATGCTCTCTCAAATTCGTGAGAACGAGACAGCCGCTATATATGTACTTCAGCAGTAGCTTAAAGGCTAGTATGCCACTCTTGACATTCTTTATTTCCAACTCTGCTTTGGCCTACGTCACATCAAGGACGGTTTCTGGGGCAACGTGCTGCAGCTTTGGTTTCAGTTGTACCTTCGAGGAGTAGAGATTGTTGTAGAATCTCGTGCTTATCGCTTTCGTGCAACAGCGATCTGTGGTTCTTGTTTCTTCTTCGTTCTCTAGTCCTACCGGAATCCGTTTTTTAGAAGGATGCCCATTTCCTCAGCCGTCAGGCTATTCTTTGTTAATTTGGCCTTTCGTAGCTTCATTCTCGTGTACTCGGCATAACCCTCCAGTATTTTTTCCGTATTTCTTCGCACAACGCACTGTATTGTCATCCAGTTTCTGATCAGCTTTCATTCTAGCAGGCTCTTCTGGCCTGAATGATGTCTGCCTGCAGGGCTGACGCGTTGTTCGTCGATATTCCTGCCCGCCTGGATAGCCGAGTGGTAGCTTTGATGGTGTTGATGAGGCGCTGGTTGCCTGCGTAGATGCTTCTGCTGATTTGTACTGTGCGGTTCAGCATAGAAGCTTCCCTGCGAAAACTTCAGTATCAAATATTTGTTAAAAGACAAATGGTCTTTCAGTCATTCTAACCCAATCTTCATATGCGACATCGATAATGACTGTGGTAATTTGAGACCTGACCGCGTGCAGACGACGTTTTCTTCACTGACAGACATTTATTACCACCCGCCTGGTGTCCTTCAGCATGAGTCAACTTGATCAAGGGTCGTTCCATTAGGGTTCGTCCACGTCCACTGCCGTTTCTCGGCTTGTTCATAAATGATATTAAAAACGTTGGTGCGGTTACTTTCGGCAAAGACTGTGAAACAAGAGTCATGTTCGTTTCTTTCTCCACTTCCAAACCGGCTGATTAAACTCTCTGTCTCTTTGGTTCCCTTTCTTTCAGTGGCTTTGAAATTTCCTTGGATCTGTGGACGTCTTTTGCATAGCGTTTTCCAGTTCCTCGTAGAGTTGCACCACTTCCCACATTGTTCGCTTGGGTTGTAAACTTCCATTGTCTTTACTGATCTTTAATGATTCATCCATCTGTAGAATTAATAAGGCTACACGCCGTGACAAGTGGTTGCAGTTGACCATGAACAGCGCAGCACTCTTCCTTCGTATCGTCCAAACGCGGATTGTGTGAGCTTTCCTGAAAAATATTTTGATCACATGTTCGATTATGAGATAAGTTTGGCAAATCTTCCGACTTTGCACACGCCGAGAACATTTACTTTGATCTTCTATGTCTCAGGAATGTAGGTATCGACGAGTGCTCTGACGACCGATCTGGTATTGCTAATAGCCATGAGATTCTTGATGGTATCCTTTTACCGTTAATGACGCGTCCTGACAGTCACAGGATCGTAGGCAATTCAAACTTTTGGCAAACGCATTTTGTAGCCTACATTCATCGCCCAGTATTCTTTCCTACATAACGTATCTTTTGACAGGTTTAATAGGTGGTTAATTCAGGGCGCCAACCTTCGTTAATTATTGTCTTCATCCTTCACACCTTTAACCAGGCCATCAGGATCCGGAACGGATGAATCTTGGTGAACTCTTGCTCGCGATTCAGTTCGCAGTCGGGTTTCACCGTTTCATCTCACCAAAGGGAACCCTCTGCGGCATGTCCCGCCGGTTCACCGTGCACAAACTGTGCCAATGATTGAAAATTGCTGAAGCCCACTTCTAAACCTCTAAGCTCAACGGAGGGAGTTACACAATGCACAATAACGGAATTATACATGCTTGTCCTATTCTTGATATTCAGCGTTCTTTGGGCTTGGCGTTGTAGTGGCAAAGAGGTCGGGTTTGAACTCCAGGTACCGGGTCAGAATCCACGGAAAGTAGATAACCTTCGTCTTTACCACGATTTCCTTGAGCAAGGAATGCAATCCACATTGCTTCGTCGAATCCAGAGAAGAAGCGAGAAGCAAGTCGATGACTGGCGAAAAACACAGAACAGCATGGAATTCTGGTCTAGCTATGTCAGAATGGAAGAAGTATACAGTCGTGCTCGCTGATGCGAGCCTTCCTCGCACAGACCCGCTGTCTTCGTTTCAACGTTACCCACGTGATGGCTGATTATCCAGTGTAATAATTACCGCAGGTGTAACTCCAGTCATTAAATATTATTTTTCTAACTCCCATTTTCTCCTACCATCATCAGTTCTGGTCGATATTCACTGTTAGATGAAATCCTCTTCAAAGTTTCATCATAAACTTCTGTTTTATTTGGTTTTAATCTGTCTTGATCTAATGAATTTTTTCCGTTCATCCTGCCATTTACCCGAAGGTCTTTGTACAGGCCGTTTTCTCTCTCTTTTAACCCAGTCCTAATGCTTCTTTGGTTTAGCGATGACCGGTACTTCTTAAAACTTGTGCTGCACATTGCAACTTTAAATTTTTCACTCAGGCAATGACATCACAGACCCATATTATTTCTTATATTGAACTAAAGTTGTTTAAGAAATAACGATTCCTAAAATATCACTAGGAGTGTGTGAAGTTGAGGAAGGCTCACAGACTAAGAAGTATGTGCCAGAAAGCCATGGAGTATTCGACTACTTAATTAGGTCTCACATTCTTTTCAGTCTTTACGGTGCAGTAATACCGTTCCTTTCATCCAGTGTAATTATGCACGACAGATTTCTGGCACTTCACGTCTGTAGAAATGGATCCGAGATCAGATATCCGAAAGAGCGGTTGTGTATAGCAGCTGCTTCTCCAGATAAAGAAGTCA